TATAAATATATATATATATATATATATATATATATATATATATATATATATATATATAATGGCACGCCATTCAGGAAATTATGATATTTATAATATGAAGTTATAACGTTTGAGTATATGGAATGGAATGAAACTTGAATATATTGAATGAAATTCTGAATATATTGAATGAAAGTTTGAATATATGGAATGAAACTTGAATATATTGAATGAAAGTTTGAATATATGGAATTAAACTTAAATATATGGAATTAAACTTGAATATATTGAATGAAAGTCTGAATATATGGAATGAAACTTGAATATATTGAAGGAAAGTTTGAATATATTGAATGAAACTTGAATATATGGAATAAAGTTTGAATATATCAAATGAAAGTCTGAATATATGGAATGAAACTTGAATATATTGAATGAAAGATTGAATATATTGAATGAAACGTCTTGGTTACATATTGTAACCCTCATTCCCTGAAGGAGGGAACGGAGACGTCACGTCGGATGACCGACAAATTGGGATCTCGCTTAGAGAGACCAATCTACTTCGAGTGTAAACTAAATGAGCCAATGCACATTGGCATGTGATTATTGCATCCAGCTGCCGCTGATCACAGCGTGAGTATAAGTAGGCAGCCAGAGCAGCACATATTCAGCTTTTCGCTGAGGAGCCGAACCAGAGACCTGGCCGCTCAGCGGTGGTACAGAAGCTGTGGCAACGGGACATGACGTCTCCGTTCCCTCCTTCAGGGAACAAAGGTTACAATATATAACCGAGACATTCCCTTTCAGTCAGTCACTCTCGATCTCACGTCAGATCAAGGACGAATTGGGATCCCTACCAAAGGGCCACAGGTACTGCCCCTTCCAGTGTCCTGTGGAAGCCTCCTGCGCCCCTACTTTTTGGCGCAGTTCGGGGCTTACCACAAGAAGACCAGTTACTGCTGCTATGGCACTACCCACTCAGTAAGACTGGATAACACTGGGAAACGTACCTGTACTACATGGGACAGGAACGTTGCGGAAGCCCCTTCCTTCCCGAAGGAGGTTTCGGAAGCACTTAGCCACATGGACAACCGCTTAGGTGTATATGGAAGATTAGAGGTGATTGTAACTCTCTTGGAAATGGCAGAAGTCTGCCGGGGAAAAAACGGGCTCTGAGGCTATACCGTGGACTTTACACATATGGGATCCACTTAGGTCTCTACATATGGAACCCAACCCTCTACCGGTTCTCACGGATTCATCAAGTGAGGGCCTGGCGCCGGACGCTCTGCCACATCTGGCTGCCATGGGGATGGAGGAGCTAGATAGGGTCTACGATATGGACTCTCTGGAGCGGTTTTAGCAAGCCGACCCAAAGCCGGGGCCTCTTAGTGCTTCTACCCATTTGAGGTGAGAACACAGGAAGATGCCGGCTCCACACGAAGGCTATAGAATCTAGCATAAATGTTGGGGGTTGCCCAGTCCGCAGTTCTACAAATATCTGTCAGTGAGGTGCCACGAGCCAGCACCCAGGAGGATGTAACACTTCTAGTAGAGTGAGCTCGCAACCTGAACGGGCAGGGCACACACTGTGCCTGATAAGCCAGGGTGATGGGATCCACTTTCCAGTGGGCCATCCTCTGCTTAGAGACGACATTACCTTCTGCCGGCCTCCGTGACAGACAAAGAGCGGCTCTGAGGTCCTGAAGCTTTGCGTCCTGTCTACGTAGCATCTTCAATGTCCGGATGGGACAAAGCAAAGCTAGGGCTGGGTCTGCCTCCTCCAGGGGCAGTGCTTGCAGGCTCACCACCTGATCCCTGAAGGGAGCAGTGGGAACCTTGGGCACATAGCCGGGCTGGGGCCTCATGATTATCTGGGAGTCAGCCGGCCAGAACTCTAGGCACGAATCGTCGATCAAAAATGCGTGCAGGTCCCCTACCCTCTTGATGGAGGCCAATGCAAGCAGGAGCAGAGTTTTCATTGACCGAGACTTCAGCTCGACTGTCTGCAAAGGCTCAAATGGGCCCTGCTGTAGCGCTCTGAGCACTAGAGACAGGTCCCAAGAAGGTATGGAGGGGGGCCGTGGAGGATTTAACCTCCTGGCCCCCCTAAGGAACCTGATGAGCAGGTCATGCTTCCCCACTGACTTCCCTTCGACAGGGTTGTGGTTGGCAGCAATAGCAGCCACGTAGACTTTAGGGGTGGAGGGAGACAGCATTCGCTCCAACCCCTGCTGCAGAAAGGACAGCATGACTCTGATTTGACATTTCCGGGGTCTTCTCGGTGAGAAGAACACCACTCGACGAACAGGTTCCACTTCAAGGCGTAAGCATGTCTCATAGACGGTGCTCTCGCCGAAGTGATGGTGTCAACTACCTCTTGGAGTAGGTCACCTAGAACCTCTGCGTCCTGTCCAGGGACCAGACATGAAGTATCCAGAGGTCTGGACGTGGGTGCCACAAGGTGCCCACAAGGAGTCAGTAGATCCTTCCTCAGAGGAATCTGCCAAGTACTTGCGTGTCAGTGCGTCCGTGACGAGTGTTCCCTCGTTCAGGGAGTAGAACAACTGGCAGTGAGAGGTATCTGGAAAGGCAAACCGGTCTACCTGAGCGGCTCCGAAACGACTCCAAATCAGCTGGACCATCTGGGGATGGAGTCTCCATTCTCCCGGGAGCGCAGCTTGTGACAGCCATCGGCTGCCCGGTTGTGCAGACCAGGAATGTGAACGGCATGAAGCGACCTCAGAAGCTT